AAGGCAATGATTTTTAGCAAATTTAGAGTGGTGTGGCGAGGGGCACAGTCCAATTCTAGAACGTTCCATCACCCACAAACAAGCCCTCTCTTGCTGTCCCCTGTCCCCACATCAGCCCCGGGCAACCCCTGCTCCACCTCTGTCCCTGCAGACTTGCCTGCTCTTGGCATCTCACATAAAGGGAGCCACAGCGCTGGTCTGTTCCTCCTCCACATTTAAAACCACTATTACGTGGAAACGTCTATCCCTGGGGTCGCAGCCCCAGGCCCTACCGCCCTCCCTGCCCCAAGCCCAAACTGGCCCTTCCCAGGGCTGTCACCTCTCGGCCTCCTCCTCGGTCACCTCCCTGCGTCTGAGTAGGACTGCGGTGCCCCCGGCGTTACTCCGGGCCTCGAGGTTCGCGCTGGGGATGTTCTTCTGCGGCTTCGCGAGGCCGCTGCCCTCCTTGCCCTGACGGGTGGCTGCCTTGACGATGTTGCTGACAAGAAAGAAAGAGCCACCGCGTAGGGCACTCCGTCCTGAGCCACCCGGGACTCGGAGCCCGAAGGAGGTGCTGGCAGCTGAAGGGCACTGGTGGGTGGCACTTGCAGGTCTTGGGGCCACCAGCACCCTGACAAGGCCCCACCCACCAGCGGCCGAGGCAAACGGGCTCTTTAGGGTTAAAAAAACTCTCATTAAAATGGCACTTAAAATTTCTCAAAAGTCACAGCAGTCCCCAGCCTGACCCTGCCAGTGACTCAAGAAACCCCGAAGGCCGTCCTGTCCTCAGCAGGGCCACACCACGCACTGGGGGGCTCCCCTGCTCAGTTCAACCGACCCCGCCGAGATGCCTTCCTGCTCTGGACGCAGCCGGCGGATTCCTTGGTGGGACCCCACCCTGGGTGTGAGTTCTGGGCTCGTGTGCTGGTTTCTCTCCAGCTGGGAAGCTCCCCGGCCCACCCAGCGCAGAGAGGGCACACTGAGGACCGCAGGCCTGCCACGCCAGCCATCGGGTGGTTTTATGTCACTGACCGTGTGTCCTGCCCTCCCAGACCCCATTCCTACCCTGACCGGCCTTACTTGAGGGAGGGCGCTGCCTGGTTGGAGCTCTTGACAGGCGGCCCCTTCTCCGAGGGGCTGTGGCGGTTGTGCACCATGGTGGTGACGCAGTTGCCCACGGCTCCCTTGTTGCTCCTGCCAGAGAGAGACGGGAGAGTCAGGCCTCGGGAGGCAGACGCCCGAGTCGCGCTCACGGCCGACGCTGGGCGTGCACGGGCCCCCGTGCTTGCTGTGCACGCAGAGGGCATGGTCCAAGGCCCCGGCGGTGGAGCCGTTCTCGGCACTGGGGAAGCTCGGTCCGGGGCTCCCGCAGAGCAGGGGCCAGAACCCCAGGCACGGACACTGGACGTGCCTGTGACAGGAGAAGCGGCTTGGATCACGGTCACTTTCGGGAGCAGATGCCTGTCCTCGCCCCCACAGCCAGGCTCCGCCCTGCCCTCCGGGCACAGAGAGGCTGCACCCGGGCCAGCAGAGTCTGCACGCGCCCAAGACACCAACCTCCCCTGCTCGGCACAAAGCAGTCGAAAGTTGAATCTTGAATGGAACCCCAAGGCAGGGAGTGGGGGGATTCCTCCCAGAGAAACTCAGCAGCCCCAGAGCAAGGTCCCACAGACCTGACGGGTGGGACCGCAACGCAACAGCCTAGTCCCTGCCCAGTCAGCCCACAGTGAGCCCACCAGGAAACAGGCTTCCTTTTTAATTGGCAGTACCAGGTGCTGGGGAATGGCAGCACAGGGAAGGCCAGAACCCACACAGACGGCACGTGAGGGCTACGAGGCCACCGGGGACAGAGCGTGGCAGAACCCCTCGCTCGGCAGGGCCCAAGCTTGCAGGTGCTCGTGGGAGCTGGGGCACGAATCTCTCACTATGGCCAGCTCGGAGCTGCTCGGGGGCAGGCAGCACGAGCACGCATTTGGAAATGCGTTCTGGAAAACACTAGAAGAAACTGCCCACGGTGGCTGCCCAGGGATGCAGCAGTCGGGCAGGGAGGGGAGGGGAGTGCCTTGCCAGTTTCTGTTGAGCTTGTGCCGCCTGCCGTTTGGCGTCATAGCTGTGTGCACGTACCCCTCTGATGGATACTAAAATTAAAGTTTAATTTAAATTCTCACATTAAAAGCAAGAATTCTTCCTGTGCCAACTCTGGTGAATGTCATGCAGCATCTCCCCCAAAACTGTTCCTTTGATGACAGCTCTAGATGCTGCAGGCCCAGGGCCCATCCCTCTGCTGCTCCCACGGAGGCCGAGCGTGAGGACGTGCTGTCCTTGAAGGCTCAGAGTGGCCGTCCTGCGCCGCTTCTCCAGGACCCCGCGGACCACCGGCCCCCTCAGCAGAGGCCCTCCCCAGACCCTGCCATCCTGGCATCGCTCCCACAGGCTTCAGCCTCGTGTCCTCACTGAGCACGGCTCCAAGAAGTGACCAGGGCAGCCCTGGTGCAGACTGGCCCTCAGCGGGTGGCAGGTGGGTTCAGGGCCTGTGGTAACACACTTCCCACCTCCAGAGACATGCGGCGCCCAAAACTCAAGAACCCACAGGAGCCTTCAAGAGTCACTTGGGGCCCCAATGAGCGCTACCCCGAGGCCGAAACTCGAAGAGCAACGCTGGTCCTTCCTTAGCGGCCTCCGAGAGTCCCTCCCTCACACGCACGACACACCTTGAGGCCTCCCCGCTTTGCCTTGGGGAAAGAAAGGCGTTAGTTTGTTCTTTCAGTCATTCCAAAGCACGCTGGTCAGGCCATGAGCACCACAGACAGACACAGTCTGCGCCCCAGGAGTTTGCAGCCGGCGGGCCATCCGGGCACCTGCTGCGGGTTGTACCTGTTGTTAGCGGTGAAGCTGGGTGCCAGGGCCACGGCGCACTCTTTCCTCCGTGGGCCCACTGCTGAGTCCGCGCTGCAGCCCCGGGCACCGGACGGCACGGCGAAGCCCCTGGGCTGGCCATCCTGCGGGTCACACAGACGAGACCTCAGCCCAACCCCACCACCACATGCCGACGCTGAGCACCTTCCCCGCTGGACGTGGCCTCACCCACAAACAAGAGGAGCACCCCGACTTCCCACACATGAGGCTGACGGGGTGCCCCATGCGCTGTAGTGTGAAGATCAAAGCCCGCTACACCGATGGTGGATACACCCTCCCTGCAGCCACCGCCCCTGTTGCAAGGGCAGTGACAACAAGGAAAGAAGCCGCCGGCAGCCCCACAGGGAGACCCAGACAGCTGGCCGCCTCGGCCCGACCTTACCAGGACGTTCCACGTGGCTCCCTTCTCGCTGGGCGCTTTGCTCAGGCTGGCCGGCCTCATTCTCCCATCGGGGCTGCCCTCGAAGAGCGCCAGGAAGTCGCTGGGCTCTGCTGGCCTGCATGCCAGAGAGGACAGCAGGTAAGGAGGGTCAGGCGGCCAGGAAGTCGACCCCAGGAACACCACCAGCCAGGGACTTTGACTCCAAGCCCACAACTTAGAGCATGTCCCCCAGCCCCGATCTGATGCCTGTGCTGGCGGGGGCTCCTGGCGCAGCGAGGCCTGGGGATTTGGGTGAGTTTCCTGTAGGAGCCTCAGTGAGCTTCTTCAGCCACACTGATGACAGACTCCTGGGGACCGAGGGCTTTAAACACTGTGGCCGCCCGCTGCGACCACAGTCATCCCCACGGACAAAGAGCCACGGAGGCCTGCAGCTCGGCGTGGACGAGGAGGCACAGCTGGACTGCGTGGCCAGCATACCAACTGCCACCTGCTGCCCCGCCCCACGGAGGCCACAGCCGCACCAAAGGGCAACCGGCCTATTGGGAAGAAACCGGCCCATTGTAGGGAGGAAGTTATTTGGCCGTAAAAAGGCGTGAAGTGCTGCCACGCGCTACAACACGGATGGACCTCACACTCAGAGAAGGAGGCGGACACGCAAGGTCAGGCACTGCACGGCTGCAGTGACAGGACACGTCCAGACCAGGCCAGTCCGCAGACAGAACGCAGGGGACGGGCTGCCAGGGCTGGCGGGGGAAATGCAGCGTCTGTTGTGGATACGGGGTGTTCTCTAGGGTGAGGAAAGTGTTCTAAATTGACGGTGGAGATGGCACACAGCTCTGTGAGTGCACTAACATCCCTGAATTGTACCCTGTCAGTAGAAGAATCGTATGCCACATGAATTGTATCTCAATAAAGCTGTCAAAAAAAAGCAACTGAGCTAGGAGCATTTGGCCCTAAGCCATCTCTGGGCCCTGCGATGTGGGAAAGCAGCCAGGGTCGGCTGGCTCGTCGAGATGTCCTGCCAGAGCTGCGGCCCAGCAACCTGCGGGCTCCTCGTGGCTCTGGCCCGGTCCCTGATCACGTGAGGACGACTCTTCCCAGCCTGGTCACACCGTCACCAAGACCACCACACCCATGGCTCGAAGGCTCAGGACCCGGCACGAGCCTCACCCAGCGCCCAGGGAAGAGGCCAGGCCGAGACCCCGGATGCCAAGCGCCACAGTGGCAGCCCACGGAGGAGGCTGTGCGGCCACCAGACAGATGCAGAGGCAACCACAAATGAATCCTCACCTGCGACAAAACGCAGCCCCGCAAACTAGAAAAGAGGCCTCGTCCTTCACGCACAAAGGGGGGGTCTCAACCCCAAAAGAACCAGGAGAGGGGACGAAAATGCAAAGCCGAGTTAAAGAGGAAGAGACGAATTTGTCAATGTGATCCTCTACCTAGGAACGTAAGAGACTTCGCAAACACAAGGCTGAAGTCCTGCAAGGCCGGCTGGATTCAAGTTCAACGTACAGAAACCAGGAGCGTTCCTACCCACCAGCAGCGACCCACCCACAACAGCAAGAGCAACGGTGAGCTCCTGGGACGAAATCTAACAAACTGCGCGAGACCCTTGCAGTGGACGGAACTGCCTGAGGAGTGGGAGCGAGACGCCGCACTCCTGGAAGGGCAGACGCCGCGATGCCGGCGTGATCCCCACTCAGAATCCTACAGGCTTAGTTTCAGTGGAAGTTGAGTGGCCCTAGAAATCCTGTGGAAGAACAAGGGACCCAAGAGGCTGCAAGACGCTGAAGAACGAAGTCGGCTCTTCCTCTAGCAGCAAGAGCTAGTGGGGAGACGGCGAGACGGTGTGGATCAGAGCGGGGCGCAGGAGCGAGTATGAACCGAGAGCTCAGAGCCGCCTCCTCCCACCTCACACCACTGCCCACCTGTGCAGCGGAGGCAGAGAATGCAGTACAACGCTGCGACACCAGGCCAAGAGATAAACTCGGACCCCGGCTCCATCCATCTGCAGAGAAGAGTCCAGGTCAGCTGGGAAGGATTTCTGAACGCCACTCGAACAGCATGACCACAAAGTAAGTGTTTATGGATGTGACAGGAAGACTGGTGTCTGCTTCAAAATAATCCGGGATGGACAGGCACACCTGTAATCCCAGCACTTTGGGAGGCTGAGGCAGGAGGTTTGCTTGAGGCCAGGAGTTTGAGACCAGCCGGGGCAACATCTCAAGACCCCACCTCT